TCTTCAGGACATATACATAAAACATAATTAACATTAGTATTGAAACGGAACGCTGATCTTGAAAAATTTCAGTTTTGATTAGTCTTACTCTTATGTCCATCGTCTTTTCATGTTGAATTAAATATAGTCTAATGTTAATTATGTTTTATGAATATGTCCTGAAGATGGTCTATTAGACCGAAACGTCCGACGTTGACATTATATTAACATTAAAACAGCATAATTGCATATTAGGATTTTTGTTTATTTTTTCCGTATATTTTTCTTCATACTGTCGGATCTATATCCATATATTTGCTTACATATTTCTCCGATTTACCCAGTAGAGAAGACAATATTTATGAATAAAAATGACAATATAAAAACTGGTAATTGCTGACGCGTTTCGTCCAATGTGGACTTTATCAAAGCAAAATTATTAATATTATTAAAAATATTAATTTCATTTTCGTATTTTGCTTTGATAAAGTCTACATTGGACGAAACGCGTCAGCAATTACCAGTTTTCCTATTGTCATTTTTATTCATTACATATATATATATATATATAGTTTTAAGGTATATTTATAGAGTGTAAATATTGATTATCCTGGATATAATATGTATAAAATAATGATAGCTAGGAATAAGGATAATTTATATGGCATTTTAATATATATTTTAAAAAGCTAAAAAAAAAAAACGGTTTCGTTCCGGCCTTTTCAAGTTTATTTCTGGGATATAAAAAATAAACGTGTAAATTTAATTGATATTAATGATAATGGAGGGAAAAGAAAAAAAAATATGAATTTCAAGAAACTAGAGTCCAATAACATTCAGACTCAGTAAGTATTCCTTTTGTTTACAAAGGGAAGGCCCACGGGATCTGATATACAAGAACTCTAGAACCTTGAGGTGATATGAGAAGTGGGACCTGGATAAAATAGAAAAACCAGTCCACCCTAAAATCAAAAGACACAATACCTACTATTTATAACATGTTCTGCATTAGAAGATCCAGAAGTATTAATTAGGATTAATTTTCCTGGAATCCGGATTCAAAATCCTGGGGGGTAAGTATTACTTTATTCTCAGATCCAAACTTTGAGACTATGTAGTCGTGTCCACACTTATATTGATAAACTACACTTATATTGATAAATCACTGAATTAACATGATGAGAGGGGGGGAGAGGACATCCTTATGAATGGAAGAGAAAATAGGACGGGTAACAAATATTACCCGAACATTGGCTGAAAAATAACAGCTGTTAATCACACGCGAAATTCGCCTAGCTAAAGACTCACCCTCTGAACCAATAAAGGGAAGACGCAAATAAAACTGGACATTTTTTAAAAAATAATGTGGACTCGACCCCCAGGGCCTGCAAATTGTGTTCAGGCATGAAACAGATTATTACCACTCAGGGATTACATCACTGTTCGTCTGAATTATGTTAAATTTATGTATTATCTGCGATACTGATATTTTTGTATTACATCGAATGACTGGAATTAAGACTAAAGAAATTGATTCAGACGAGACTCAAACCTTTACTCTACCAGAGGAGCTTGTTATATCCTGTAGCATTACCATGTAGCAAAATAAATATGTGTAGGATGGTGATCTTTCGGTACCTACTGTATTGTTTCGATGTGCGGCAACGGAATTTGAAAGATAAAAAGAGATTGCCTAAAATTGTTGGAAAAATATATGTAAAAACAAGATAAAGATATTGAGAAAAGAGACCTGTGCATAAATTGCTAAAATTAAAATTAAGTAAAAGAGATTCTTCAAAGACGAAATTAAAATTATGGATAAATTCATTTTTTCCTTTTAAGGAATCATGTCCAGTTTAAAATGTAATGGTAGTAATTGATTATCCCAAATTTGCAATACAAAAAGAGGTGATGAATTATATATATATATATATATATATATATATATATATATATATATATATATATATTTATGATAGGTAGATTTTATTGTTTGTTAGGTATTGTTTTAATGTGTATTATTATCACACACAATAAATACGCTAATTTAAAAAAAAAAAATCAAAGAGAGGCTGTTCAGCAATGAACGCCAGTTTTAAAAAATGCTGTTGACAATCCCGTTCTTTGCTGTTATATCTAAAACCTGGAACGTGAGTGTTTAACTTTGACAAGCAAACGAGAGAATTTTACGCCATGTTTCTTTTTCTAAAGATGAACAGGAACGAAAAAAAAAAAAAACACTAACAATTTAACAAAAATTAGAAACAGAATCGTTGAAAAAAAAATTAAATTTTATAAAAGATAAAACAAAGATTTTCAAATAAAATAAATAATAATAAAGCCGGATCAAACATCGGATCGAAATTTAAAAGAGATTATAAAATACCATAGGTAGAAAAAGACAAGGGTTTCAATTTTACGATTCTTGTATAAGTTCAAAGACAAACAGGATTTTTCAAAGTTTCTTTAAAAAGAAAGAGCAAGAAGACATTGGGAAAAAATGTTTAGCCAAAAGAAAATAAATGTGTGAAGACTTGGGAAAAACACAAGAAACAGAAAGGATTGAATTCAAACAAAAATAAAATAAAAAAATAAAAAATTAGCGCGATGCCAAATAACACTCGACAATGAGAACATGTTTTATGGATCACGTGATCTGGCAAAGTTGTGACGTATTTCAGACCTGAGTTTCCGGTAGAAATTTTCAAACTCTTTGTCTTAGAACGTAATTTATTTTTTTTTCTAAATTCTCTTTTCTTTTATTTTTAAGCGTTGCTTCGTTCCATTTGAAGTTACTATAATGGTTGCAAGTTAGTTGTTCCCTCATCACGCGTAAATGTACGCGAATATGTTTTTCCTATTCCCTGATTCTTAATTCCTTTCGCAAAACCAAAACCAAAAAATAAAAAAAATGTAGAGAGCAGCAGAATTATCGCAAAAATCTTCGGAAATTGATAAGGACAGTGAAATGAAAGGAAAAAGCGATTTTTTCTCAAAGTTAAAAAGCAAAACACTCCATAACGTTTTCCATCTTGGCTATTTTTTTTATTTTTTTTTACACAAATACGCGGACCAGAAACAACAAATCTTCCATTTTAAGAATTGTTAACTTCGTTAATTTTCTGTCTCCGGCGATATCTATTAGTCTGTCTGTCTGTCTATCTATCTATCTATCTATCTATCTATCTATCTATCTATCTCATTCTGTATCTAGCTGTCGATATGTGTCAGCCTGTTCATCTATCTATCTATTTTCGGTATGTTACATCTATCTATCTATCTATCTATCTATCTATCTATCTATCTATCTATTCTGTTCCTATCTATGTGTTTATCTATTTTTGTCAATATCTATCTATCTATTTCGTCATGTTATATCTATCTATCTATCTATCTATCTATCTATCTCAATCTGTTCATATCTATCTATCTATCTATCTATCTATCTATCTATCTATCTATCTATCTATCATTCTGTCGATCTATCTATCTCATTCTGTTTATATCTATATGTTTATCTATTTCTGTCAATATCTATCTATCTATCTATCTATCTATCTATCAGTCTGTCTATCTATCTATCTCATTCTATTCATATCTATCTGTTTATGTATTTCTGTCAATAACTATCTAGCTATTTACGGCCTGTTATATCTATCTATCTATCTATCTATCTATCTCATTCTGTTCATATCTATCTGTTTATCTATTTCTGTCAATATCTATCTATCTATCAATTTTTGGCACGTTATATCTATTTATCTATCTATCTATCAGTCTGTCTGTCTATCTATCTATCTCATTCTATTCATATCTATCTGTTTATGTATTTCTGTCAATATCTATCTAGCCATTTACGGCCTGTTATATCTATCTATCTATCTATCTATCTATCTATCTATCTATCTATCTATCTATCTATCTATCTAATCCTATCAACTCTGATCATATTTCCCGATCTGGTCATACCTATCTTTACTTATATATAGTTCCCAGTTCTGCGCCATTTTTCATCGCCTCTCCATCAATCGATCTTACAATCTTCAGAGATTTGCTCTTTTTCCCGCCACATTTCTTCCATTGCAATCACCAGAATTTAAAATCTGAACGACAAAACCGCAAACAACTCCACTTAATAGATTCTCTAATAACAATAAGTTTATGTTATGTGTTTTTTTAACCATTCCACCCCAAGCAAAACAATAAAGCCACTAAGACGCAAGGGGCTATTAAGTGCTAGGGAAATGTGGAGTTAGTAGCCATGGCCAAATGCAAAAAATAAGTAACAGAACTGCCCCAAAAAAATAGATTCGTAAAGTTTGCAATAAACAATTACAAGGAGAAGAAAAGAACAGATTAAAAAAATAATATAAAGCAAGCAAACAGTATATGCAAGGCAAATTAACAGTAATAAGGCAAAGCAACAGTAATAAGGCAAAGCAACAGTAATAAGGCAAAGCAACAGTAATAAGGCAAAGCAACAGTAATAAGGCAAAAAGTTCACAAACTAAGAATTGGGGTTGACATGCAATAGCAAATTTTAATAAGCGAACGTGGCGTACTGATTCAAGACGAGACAGATCGGGATTGAGTCAGATAAAACTGAGATTCGGCCTATTTTATTAGCTAGGAAAAATCCCAGCATGCATTTGTGTGCTTCTGCTTATAAAATAGGGAGATGCAAGTATTTTGCAGCCATTTCAATACAGATTGGAATCAACAGGTAAAATATATTATTACGGAGAGAAGAATTTTAATTAGGCTCTCCGATTAACAATTCCGAGCCGTTTTACGGTATCCACATCCAAACTTACAGCACCTAGCAAGTCACAAACGATCTAGGTTCTGACCAGGATCAACGTTGCTTAACTTCGGTGATCGCTTGTTGGTTCTATGTGATATGGTTGTAAGCTGTATGTTTTTCTAGCAGTCGGTAAAATAATAGAAAATTTAACCGTTCGTTCGCTTTATTGAAACGAAAACAGAAAGAAATTACTTCCTCTTTGCTCGTGCCGGTTTAAATGTCTCCCGAACATCCGCACCCGCTGATGAGAAACAGTTTCTTTCGTTTGAAGCGTTATTATGCATCTCGTATCCAGCTTTGGCTTCTTGAGGCAATGGTCAGAAGCTCCATATCTCCAAGGACTTGGCTGTTATTTGCATCGTGTCGATACAACGATATTCACATGGCCGACATAATTTATCAATTGCATCATTACCAAGGAATGGCCTCCTTCTTTCCTGTTCGTTGTGACTCTCGCTACGATATACGTCTGCCTTTCTCACTTTATTACACTTTATTGATGGGGTGCGCTATTTGCATATATTTGGAGGCAAAAAGGAATCTTTGAAAAATCGTTAACCGCTTATCTGTCTATCTATCTATTTCAGCCTGTATATATTCTCTCTTTCTCTCACTCTCTCGCAACCTCTATATACCTCTTTCTCTCTGCTATCTATCGATCGATCGATCGATCTCAACCTGTATATATTCTCTCACTCTTTCTCTCTCTATCGGAACCTGTATATACCTTTTTCTTTCTCTCTCCTATCTATCAGTCTGTATATATTCTTTCTTTCTTTCTTTCTTTCTTTCTTTCTTTCTTTCTTTCCCTCTCTCTAGCGCATGTATATACCTCTTTCTTTCTCTCTCCTATCTATCTATCTATCTATCTATCTATCTATCTATCTATCTATGTCTGTCCAGTCTGTATATATAATATCTCTCTATCTATGAAACCCTGTATATACCTCTCTCTCTCTCTCTTTTTCTCTCCTTCTCTTTATCTTTCTTTCGCCGCCTCTCTATCTATCTATCTATCTATCTATCTATCTATCTATCTATCTATCTATCTATCTGAGCGTGTATGTAGCAGAATCAAATAATCTCCTAACTTTAAAAAAATTATACATGTACATGTTAATTTTTTATTTTTCATATATGCATTGTGACCATTTTTGGAATATTACTGTTTCCTGGTCTAATTCAACTCTGACCATATATATATATATATATATATATATATATATATATATATATATATATATATATATATAGGTTGTCCCTAAAGATCGTGCACTTTAAATTTATAAATTTTAAAGGAGACACGGACTTTATGGACACCCTATATATATATATATATATATATATATATATATATATATATATATATATATATATATATATATATACACAATGGTCCACAACCAGGGGAAGTCCTTCTAGTTTGAATATTTAGGTTTCACGGTGGTGGGGAGTCTGTTACTTTTCATATTTTTATTTATTTATTTTTTTGTTCACAATTTGTGGTCTGTAATCTTCATCAGAATAAAACGGATTTATATACGCTGACCTTTTATTACGCATTTTGTTTACTGAAGTCTGCTTCAGTTTATTTATTTCATAATTAGTTACGCGTTAAAACAAATTACTTTACATGTACTCATATTTAAAAATCCTTTCGGCGTTTTCTATTGCTATTAAATTTGTAAAACTCCTCAAAAACAAAAAATAATCCGTGTGAAGGTACAATGAAGAGAAGGAAGAAAATCGTTAACTGCTTATCTATTATCGTCTGCTTCTTCAATGGTTTGCACTCGTCATGATTTTGTATTTGAGTAAAGGTACATTCCTTTTCATATCGAAATGAACGACAGACTATCCGATTACTTTCACAGGGTTTTCTGTAGTGTTGTGGTAAGAACCTGTTACCTTCCTTACTCTCATCAATGGACTGATCCATTCATGATAAGTAGTCCTGGGTAATTGTCTAGAAAGGAAAGAAGATAATACTCTTGCTGTGACTTGTCTAGCTGAATATTGAATACTGCTATCACGATAGTGTCAGAGCTATGCCGCCCGGAACTTCGTTCCTGGTAGGGCCACCCAAGGCGGACAGGTCTGACACACACGCCGGCTAACAAGGGCTCTGGTGAAAATCCAAGGAGCGTCTGCATCGGTAACCGGCGGCTTCTGGTCGTTCCTGTCTCTGCGTCTGTGGGAACCCCGCGGCAAGCAAGAACGTTATCCGAGTAGGCCTGGGTACCCTACTTCTGTAATTTATCCCAAGAATCTTCTCATAACAGGAAGAAGCCGGCTCAATCCGCCCAGGGTGAATGCCGCATCAGTACAGTACAGTACAGTATCACGATGCGCTTCAAATTTGTAAATCCTTAATTTTTTAATATTTCAAGTAAAAATAAAATATCCAAATTACTTGAATTGAAGCAGCCAAGACATTAAACACAGGATACTTTGTGCCAGGAGGAAGTTAATCTTTATCATCAGAAGAAGATAAAGATTGCTGTGACTTATTTAGCTGACTACTGAATACTTCTATCATGGCTAACTCAGCTATGTTTAGTGTTATGTCTTGCCAGGTTCCGCCTCACAATACTATGCATAATTTTCACTTCGTCTTTGAAGAATCAATTTTATTTAATTGTTATTTTTTAATCTTGTACACACGTCTTTTCTTCCAAGATCTTTATCTTGTTTTTTAATTTAATTTCTACCGATTTTTAGTAGGTACTTCCACTAATTCGGTGAAAAAAGCATGACCAGATGGAAAAATACCCCAAACTTTATAAAAACAAAGTTTTAACAACAAAATATTGTTCAGAGAAAAGACCAAAGGGTTTTTATATTATTTAATTAAATTTATTAATCCATTCTAGCACGTTCGAAATTTTGGTTAAAAATATTGTTTATCTTGCGTCGGGGGTGTGGGGAGAGACCAAAGATTAATATAGGAAATTTTAGTGTCTTTTTGCAGTAAAAAACACATTGTTTTTTAAATTCTTGCAAAATTCAAATAATTGTCGGATTTTAATGAAAGTTAGTCAGCATCGTCATCATCATGCTCATCATCATCATGCTCTTCATCATCATCGTGTTCATCATCATCATTGTGCTCATCATCATCATGCTCTTCATCATCATCGGGATCATCACCATCATCATCGGGCTCATCATCATCATCAGGCTCATCATCATCATCATCGGGCTCATCATCATCATCGGGCTCATCATCATCATCGAGCTCATCATCATACTCCTCATCATCATCGTGCTCATCATCATACTCATCATCATCATCATCCTCATCATTATCATCATCGTGCTCATCATCATAGTCATCATCATCATCATCGCGCTCATCATCATGCTCATCGTCACCATCATGCTCATCATCATCATCATCATTGTGCTCATCATCATCATTGGGCTCATCATCATCGTGCTCATCATCATAGTCATCATTATCATCATCATGCTCATCATCATCATCATCATCGGGATCATCATCATCGGGATCATCATCATCATCGTGCTTATCATCATAGTCATCATCATCATCGGGATCATCATCATCATCATACTCATCATCATCATCATCAGGCTCATCATCATCGTCATCGTGCTCATCATCATAGTCATCATCATCGCGCTCATCGTCATGCTCATTGTCACCATCATGCTCATCATCATCGTCATTGTGCTCATCATCATCATGCTCTTAATCATCATCGTGCTCATCATCATCATCATCATCATCAGGCTCATCATCATCATCAGGCTCATCATCATCATCATCATCATCAATCCCAGGTTCGTTGATGAGCATCAGATCACTTCACCCTACGTACCTGTGTCGAAAAAAAATGGGGTATCCATTCAGGCGTGGTGTACCTTGGAAAAGTAGACCTGTCGGAGGCCATCCTTCTCCAGGTCAAACCACAACCGATGTTATCCAACCTGAAGGCCAGTCTTGGCCATGAATATTTTGCCGTTGTTTGCATCGGGGAAACTTCCAGCCTGACCGATGACTTCAGTCTAAGAAGACCACCCTCCCCTATCGATGCAGTGTTATCAGTGTACTGGCTGCACACATCGACATGGAAAACCAATTGTGCTATATGACCGTTGACCTTTCACGAAAGTCCAGCTGCCTTTTGACAGGTCGAGTTTTTGCTCTTGAGTGTCTAGCCACCCTCTTCATAAGAAAAGCCTGGTTCGGGAATCAGTCAAATCGGTGATGACCCGACCATGCGACTGCGGGTCCGGGATTATATTGCATCAGTACCACTCGTAGAGTGGTATGACGTAAAGACATGATTCTTCTTCTTCTTCTTCTTCTTCTTCTTCTTCTTCTTCAACTTCCATTTCATCTTCTTCTTTTCCGTCTTCTGCTTCTTTTTCGTTTTCATCTTTTTCATCTTCTTCTTCTTTTCTTCTTCGTTGTTCTATCCTTCTTTGTCTTCTTCTTCTTCTTCTTCCACTTTTTCTTCATTTTCTTCGTCTTCTTTTTCTTATTCTTCTTTTTCTTCTTATTCTTTGTATTCTTCTTCTTCGTCGTCGTCGTCGTCTTCTTCTTCGTCTCATTATTTGTCTTCTTTTTTGTCTTCTTCTTCTTCGTCTTCTTATTATTTGTCTTCTACTTTGACTTCTTTATCCACTTCTCTTCTTCGTCATCTTCTTCTTCTTCTTCTTCTTCTTCTTCTTCTTCTTCGTCGTCGTCGTCGTCGTCGTCGTCATCGTCTGCTTGTCCTTCTTCTTTGTCTTTTCTTCTTGTCTTCTTGTTCTTTTTCTCCCCAAAACTTACTACCCCTTGTGACACTTAGCAGTGTTTCTCCCTTTACTAAGACTCCCGCCGTCCACTCGACAGGCTGCCTTCCCCTACTTCTTTTGTCTTTAATATGCCCTGTGAGTGTTAAGTTTTCCAAACCCTCTTTCTCGTCATCTGTCCAAGAAATTTCAGGAGTCTCTTACTCATTCTGAGTAGAAGTGTCCTTTTTCTTTGTATTTTCTTTACGACATTAAACATAGTTGCTTACTCGCTCCCTCACTATCTTTCTGTAGAACCATATTTCTGACGCCTCTAGTTTTCACCTGATCCGTGGTAAGGGTGGGGTGCGGAGATTATCCAGCATTTATTTTCATATAAGAGGATATATATCACATAGCAATCAAGTTATATCCATCTTCTTTTTCAGTATCTGTCGAAATTGCTCGTGAATATGGCAATAAAAATGATGCCAACAGTCCAAACAATGTAAATAGTGTAAATATTTTAAATAACTCATCTCAGAAATATAGACTGATTCTGAAGAAGGCCAGAGCATAGAACGGTCGAAACTTCGTGGATATGGCAACAGAGATGATGACAACAATCCGAATAATGTAAATAGTGTAGTTATAATACCTCAAATCAGAAATATAGACATATCCTGAAAAAGGCCAGAACTTACAGCTGAAGAATGTCGTGAATATTGCAGTAGACATAAGAACAACAGTCCGAACAATGTAAATAGTGTAAATAGTTACAATAACCCAAATCAAAAATATAGACAGATCCTGAAGAAGGCCAGAGCGTACAACGGCTGAAACGTCGAGAATATGGCAACAAAGATGATGACAACACTCCGAACAATGTAAATAGTGTAAATATTTGCAATACCTTACCTCAGAAATATAGACAGATCCTGAAGAAGGCCAGAGCGTACAACGGCCGAAACGTCTTGAATATGGCAATAAAAATGAGGACAACATTCCGAACAATGTAAATAGTTATAATACTTGATCTCAGAAATATAGACAGATCCTGAAGAAGACCAGAGCGTACAACGGCCGAAACGTCTTGAATATGGCAACAAAGATGATGACAACCTCCGAACAATGTAAATGGTGTAAATATTTGCAATACCTTACCTCAGAAATATAGACAGATCCTGAAGAAGGCCAGAGCGTACAACGGCCGAAACGTCTCTTGAATATGGCAATAAAAATGAGGGACAACATTCCGAACAATGTAAATAGTTATAATACTTGATCTCAGAAATATAGACAGATCCTGAAGAAGACCAGAGCGTACAACGGCCGAAAC